AACCCGGCCAAAGACTTTGCAGCTTCCCTCTCCTCCCGGCTGTCACTGTCACATCCGTGACTCTCGTTCCCCCTGTCTGCCGCTCTCGGGGTTAGGGTCCCCATCCACCAAGCCTTCTTCCCCGGTGTTGCCCAACCGGATCCTCCCCCCCCACCGCCCCCAGGATCTCTCCCCCGCGGCAGGAATTTGTGCCCCCAGTAGCAGCAGCTTGTAGCTCCCTCCTTTTATTCTTCTGTTTCTCTCTCTCCTTGTTTCTTCCGTCTTTCTTTTCTCCCTTCCATCCTTCCCCCCTCTCTCCTTCCTTACCCCTCCTTCCTTCCTTTTTCTCCTGCTTTCCTCTCTCCTTCCTTACTCCCTTCCTCCTTCCTCACTCGCTTCCTCGTTCCCCTCTCCTTCCATCCATCCTCCTCTCCGCCCGCTCTCCGCCCGCTCCCTCCTCCGCAGCCCCTTTTCCGCATTCATTTATCCCCTTGCTGGCTCCTCCGGCCCCCTTTTTTCTCCACCTGCCTTTCTCTATTCCTCCCCCTTCCGCGCTCCTCCTCTCCTTCCTTCCTTCCTTCCTTCCTCCCTCCCTCCCTCCTCCGGGCTTATTCCTTCTCTCTCCCCGCCCGCAAGCCCCCCGCTTTTCCCAGACGACCCCGGCCCGGCTGCCTGCCTGGCTGCCTGGCTGGCAAGAGGGGCTTGTCGGGGTGGGCACAACCAGGCAAGCCTGTGCGGGGTCTGCGCTGCTATTGCCGCCGGCTTCTCTGGCCGCCCTCCTCCTCCTCTTCCTGGCTGCTCTCGCTCTGCCCATCCCTCTATTCCTCCTCCTCCTCCTCTCCTCCTCCTCCTTCCCTCTATTCCTCCTCCTCCTCTCCACCGCCTGCGCTCTAGCTGGCTGCCTTGGCTTTGCCTTGGCTGGCTGGCAGGGCTTGGAAGGATAGGAAATCGATGCCACTTACACCTCCGCTGGAAGAGAGCGGGGAGCAGCAGGCGCCGCTGACGTTCCTGGCCGCCGGGGTGGGCGGTGGGCTTCTCTCGCAAGGCGGGGTGGGCTTTTAAGAGGAGGGGGCGCCAAAAGGCTCGGCTGGCTCGCTCTGCGCAGCTCCGGGGGGCTCGGCTGGCTCCCTTTTCTCTCCCCGCCGCCAATTCCTTGGCTCGCCTCGGCTTCAGGCAGGCAAAAATCGATGGGGTTCGCCGCGCCGGGGCTTCCCCATTGATTTACACTCGTCCGCCTCCCAGCCTGCCTCGTTCCCTCGCTCCGCGGAACCTGGCGGCTGCCTTCCAACACAATGGAATAATCAATTCAGCCCTCCGCCTCTCCCTCCCTCCCTCCTTCCCTGCTCCTCCTTCCCTCCCTCCCTTCCTCCTGTACATACGCGCGCACATACACAGACACACACACACACACACACACACACACAGACACACACACACAGACAGAGACTGAGAAGCGCGCCCCCGCGCTCCCAGCTGCGCGCACACCCGGCCAAGAGGGAGGAGGCGTGGGGGGGGGGGAGGAGGAGGAGCCACTCCCCGGCAGGTGCGCTCTTTAGGCAGGATGGGAAATGAAGTCCGAGGAGGAGGCTGAGAGTCGGGCCCATCACCATCATCATCATCATCAGGAATTCCAAGGAACCGGTGAATTAAATCGACGGCGGGGAGTCCTCAATCTACAGCCGTTTATTTAGGGATGAAGTCATTGATTGCAGTGAGAAATAAATGGAGATTAGTGAAATCTTTCTATCTATATAAAAGCGAAATGCCACTCTGGCATCATCACACAATCTCCATCAAGCCTACAAACTTGAAATTGGGCTCATATGTTAGCTTCTATGGGCTCCCTAAGAAACTATTTTTCGAAATGACACTCAGAGCATTTAGAGTATTTCCTATATTATTATTATTATTATTGTTGTTGTTGTTGTTGTTGTTATTATAATTGACACGCTCTGATGCTAAGGAGTTCTACTCCGCTTCCCCACCTGAAAAGAAATCTCTTCCAAATGCAAAACACAAGCAGAGGAGAGGAGTTTCAATTTCACAGCACCAAGCGGCTTTAGTACAGAACAGTTGAGCTAAGTCACGCCCAGGCTCCTTGCTGTCTCCTTCTTGCTCACACAGCAAATACTGTTTCACTTTCCAAACAGCCCTCAACTCTCTCACACCCTGACAGGACTCTAGCCAGATGAATATACTGGTGGATGCTGGTAGGCAGAGGCAGAATCCCCCCCCCCTCATTTTCCTCCCCAAAAACTAAGTCCAGCCACATAGTTTTGTAACGAAGCATGGGTCTCGAGCTAGTAATTTAATAATTGTTATTGATTCACTTGACAATTGTGGCAAGAACAGGCTAAAATAGGGCAAATCTCACTTAACAACTGTCTCGCTTAGGCAGTTCTCGAATTGCAACAATTCATTTAGGGATGAATTAAATTGATTGCAGGGAATTGTCAAGTTTGGACAGTTTATTTGGAGATGAATTGATTGCAACAGTTTAGGGATGAATTCATCAATGGCAAATCTCAATTTTTGAGAGTTTATTTAGAAATTGATTGAAGATCGTCCCAGAATTGCAACAGTTTGTTTAGGGATGAATTAATCGATTTTAAGTAGTTCTCAATTTTCAACCGTTTACTTAGAGATGAATTAATTGATCATCCTCAAATTGCAACAGTTAGTTTAGGGATGAATTCATCGATTGCAGATAGTTTTCGATTTACAACGGTTTAGGAATAATTCATTGATTGTAGGTAGTCCTCAATTTTCAACAAATTGGCTTCGGGATGAATTAATTCATTGCAAAGACTCCTCAATTTACAAGAGTGTTGTAATGACGAGGCAGTCGAGTTGTTTGATCATGAACAACTGAATCATGATGATCTTTATTGGAGCCTAGTCTTGCATTTATACACATTTTTAGTAATCCTCCATCATTGGTTAACTTTGGTTATTGCTTAACTTTCGTTACTGTTTAGCACAGTAATCCATACAATTAATTATCTCTAGTTAAAGTCTAACACATGTTTACTTCCTCTCTCTAATCCTCCTTTAGATTAGTAACTTTGTTTACCTGAGTTGTATTTGCTTGGAAACATTCTTTATCTGAGGTTTGCCATCTGAACATTCCTGCAATTACAACTCTACACAAGAGTTTATTTGGAGATTAATTAATTCATTGCAGATCGTCCTCAAATTGCAACAGTTCATTTAGGGATGATTTAATCAATTGTAGATAGTCCTAGACTTAAAACAGTTCATTCAGCGACCGCTCAAAGTTATAACGATGCTGAAAAAAGGGGACTTGTGACCCTTTTTCACACTTACGACTGTTGCAGCAGCCCCACAGTCATGTGAACAAAGTCCAACTGCTTGGCTACTGACTCATATTTATGACAGTTGCAGTGTCCCAAGGTCCTGTGATGCCCTGTTGGTGGACTTCTGAAAAGCAAAGTCAAGGGCGAAGGCAGATTCACTTAACATGCATGCGACTCATTTAACAACCGTAAGGATTTGTTTTAAAAGGGTGGCAAGAAAGGTCGTAAAAGGGTGCAAAACTCATTTAACAACCATCTCGCTTAGCAACAGGAATTTAGGACTCCACTCTGGTGGTAAATTGAGGAATTCCTGTAATAATTAATGATTCATTACCCTGTTTCCCTCAAAATAACACCCTGTCTTATATTCTTTTTCCCACCCAAAAAGGCACTAGGTCTTATTTTCGGGGGATATCATCGCCCCACAGGCCTCCTTTTTGCTGTCAGATCAGGAACTTCTTCTTCTGCAGCCGTCAAGGCTTTCTTGAAGGCCTCTGCAGCCGATAATGGACCTCTGGATCGATCCTGAGCTTTGTTATCAGCTCCAGAGGCCTTCAGGAAAGCCTTGCCAGCCTTGACGGCTGCCAGAGAAATGGGCTAGCAAGGCAGCTGTCGGGGTGTGCGAGGCCTGGCTACAACTGCCCAAAGGTAAGTAGTAGGGTACCCCCACACACATCCCCACCCTACCTTAATTTTTAGCTATGCACTCTGGAGTGGATGGGGTCTTATAGGGCTTATTTTGGGGAGTAGGGCTTATATTGGGCACACGTGTAAAAATCAAGCTAGGACTTACTTTCAGGGTAGGTCGTATTTTCGGGAAAACAGGGTAATTATTAATAATTGGAGAGGGTCATGAAGATGGTGATGATGATGGTGTTTGAGGGGTGAGTTTGTCTTCCCAGATAAGTCACCCTCCCCTGAAAGTCTTACAACAACCTGATCAGGTAGGCCAGTGCAGGAAAGAATCTTGATCCTCTCAGACCAAGAGAGGAAGTTGGGATGGCCATCCGTCCAGAACTCAGGTAGGCCTTGGGTTAATAATTGTTCGCTTAGAGACTGTATGAAGTTAACAAAAAGTGACTTACGACCAGTTCTTGCACTTACGACCCACATTATTTACGACAGATCAAAGTCAGTTGGGGAAGCCGGATTCGCACAATGACCGCACAGTTCACTTAAAAACTGAAAGTCGTGCAATTGGCGATCTTCCCAACCGGTTTGTAACAAGTCAACGGGAGAAGCCGGATTCCTTGGACAACCATGTGATTCATATAACGACTGTGGTAAAAAAAAAAAAAGGATTGTAAAATCAGGCATGGCTCCCTTAATGTCCGCCTCACTTAACGATGGAAATTCTGGGCTCCATTATGGTTGTTAAATTGAGGGCTATCTATAATCAGATTTGGAGGGGTGGGATCAGGTACCAGAGCTCAGGCAGGGAAGCAGATGGGGTATACGACTTCCTTGCTTAGTGACGGAAATGTCAGTCTCAATTTTGGTCGTAATTTGTATTTTCTCAGTCTTGGCTTAGCAGTCAAGACATTGTCTCTCCACCTCGCAGGGTGGATGCAAGATCCGATTTTCCTGTCCCAGCTGTGGGCCTGATCCTTTCAAAATTTAGTCCTCGACTTACAAACAGTTCATTTAGTGACCATTGTAGAGTTACAACAGCATGGAAAAAAGTGACTTAGGACCGGTTTTTCACAGTTGCCACCTTTCCAGCATCCCCATGTTCACCTGATCAAAACTCAGATGCTTGGCCACTGGTTCACACTTACAACAGTTGCAGCCTTTCTGTTCTGTAGTCTACTATAGGTAGTCCTTGACTTACAACAATTCGTTTAATGACTTGTTTGAAGTTACAACGGCACTGCTAAAAGGCACTTGGGACCATTGCAGCCTCCCTGTGATCACATGATCAAAATTCAGACATGACAACTGTCTCACATTTACGATGGTTGCAAACATCCCAGGGTCATACGATCCCCTTTTTGCGACCTTCCGATAAGCCAAGTTAACCGGGGGAGGGGGAGCCAGATTCACATAACGACCGGGTTACTAACTTCTCAACTGCAGTGATTCCCTTAACCACCCGGGGAGGGAGGAGGGCCAGAACGGTTGTAAAATGAGGCAAAACTCAACAAATTCTCACTTAACATACATTTTGGGCTCCACAGCCGCCGTAACTCGAGGACGACCCAACAGAGGGGGTTAAAACCTTCAAAGAGAAATTGATTTCCTCTCCCTCCCCAAAATAGAACCTGGGTTTGTTTGTTTATTGATTTATTTTTTTTAAAGTTGCATCCTATAAAAATCCTGTGGTTGTTCTTATAGTGTTTGTTTGTTATTGTTATTATAGTGATGATGATGATAATAATTGTCCCTCTGGATCATTTATTTTATTCTAAGAAGGAAGGTTGCCCTCCCCCTCCCCCCAGGAAAAGAGAGTTATTGCAAAAATTCAGGGGATTTGAATTTAATTTTTATTTTTTATTTTGCAAGAAAAAAGGGGAATGTTCTTAGGGTGCGTCTTCCATGCGTGCCGGTCTTGTGTATGCCCCCCCCCCCCCCCCCCCCCCCCCCCCCGCCGCTCTTAATTGCAGCTTTCCGGTTTCCGTGGCAACGGGGAGAGAGGGAGCGAGACAGTCACATGGGGAGAGGAATAAAAAATAGAACAGCTAGAGAAGCAAAATGAAAAAAAAAAAAGCAGGGAAGGGGGTGAAAGTACCTGCTGGGAGGCGGGAAAACTACGACTCCCGAGAGCCTTTGCGCCGCTCTCGGCCTTTTGTGATGCGGCCCTTTCTTTCCCTTCCCCCTCTCCCTCCCAATTGTGAACGTCCGGGCGAGGATTGACTCGTCCTTCTTTGTCTTCGGTTTGCAAAAGGTTGCAAAGCTTGCAGGGGTCCTGGGGCCGGCGACCCCCTTTGCAAAGGAGGCTGGGGGTTGTAGTCCTCGACCCGGGCAGCGCGTTAAACCCTTGGCAAATTATGGAGCGGAGCTCTCGGGACCTCCAGCCGGGGGAAGGTCAGTGGCCTGCTCCGAGGATGGGATGGAGGGGGCCTGGGCGCAGTCGGAGCAACGGGCAGGAGTGCAATTAATCCGGATTAAATTAGCACCCCCCCCTCTCAAGGCTCATTCCAATCCTCCCCCCCTCTCTCGCCAGGTGCCAGGTGCAAAGGTAGTGTGTGCGTTGGACCACGAATGTGTAAGACACGCGAAGGTGCCAGGTGTAAAACTGCCGTGCGATGAATCACGAACGTGCAATGTGCGTGAAGGTCCATGTGCAAAAACTGCCATGCAGTGAACCCATGAGTTGTGTAACGCACACGAAGCTGCCAGATGCAAAACTGCTGTGCGGTTGAACCATGAGTGTGCAATGCAGGTGCCGGGTGCAAAACTGCCGTGCAAACGAACCCCAAAACGTGCAGTGCACGCGAAGGTGCCAGTTGCAAACTTCCCAGCGAACACTCGATGGCAGCAGGGAAGGCGAGCCAGCCCCTCGGAGGCCTGAGTTCAAATCCTCCACAACCATGACATTGGGAGTGGGGGAGGCACTATTGTTTACACACTGCGGTCTGCCGCAGCAGCCTTGATCCTGAGCATAAAATGGAGGGAGGGAAGCAAAGCTGCCATTTAATGAAAAATGACTTGTTCCTGAAACAGGAAGGGAGGAGGAGAAAAACACAGGAAATGCTATTTGGGGAGATTAGAAACCATTTTTTTTTAAAAAAAATTAATTCCCAGTCTAGGCTTTGTTTTTGCGACAAAAGATTGTTTTTAAAAGATTCAGGCAGTGGAAGATGGTTTTTGTTAATCAAGCAATGGTCTCTTAAAAAACACATCCCACTCTGATTCTGCTAGGAGGTGCATCTGAAGCCTAAAAGTTTACTTTATTGTCATTGCACCTTGTACAACGAAATTAAATGCCACTTCCAGTGTACATTATACATAAAAATATAAACAACCCCCCCCTTCACATTCTGTACAATTGAATTGAAAACCCGATAATGCATTCATGTTGAACTATACAGTAGAATTCAACAGAGCTCCTGCCCTGGGATATATCGAAGCTGTTTTTCAGCCTATTTGTCCTTGTTTTTATTATCGTCCTGTACCATCTGCCAGATGGTAATAGTTCAAAAAAAAAGGGGGTGGTGGTGTTGAGATGGATCTTTAAGAACGTTTTGAATTTTCTTAAGGCAGAGGGACTATAAAGCTCTTCCAAAGAGCCGAGAGGGCAATCAAAAAGGGACTTAGGAGCTTAAAGCTTAGGAGTTCATTTTGAATTAAAAACACTGCAGATATTCTAAATATATATTTATATATTTATATAAATATATATTGAGAATATTTACAGTGTTTTATATAAATTTGTAAATATAAATATATATTCTAAAATACCTTTTATCAGGTTCTCTGAAAGAGCAAAATCAAGCTGAGCAATTCGCAAAGAGCAGAATCCAATTTGTTGCAGAAAAATCATTAGGATTCTTTTTCAATTTTGGATATTTTCTGTGTGTGTGTGCATCCCTGTCAGTCCGTGTGTGTGTCTTCCAGGTCAGCTTTCCGGAGCCATGGAAGTGGAACGGAAGTTTCTTTTCGGGCCTAGCACCATCGAGAAGTTAACTGAACTGGGGGCGATCCTAGAAAGCCGTGCCTCTTTTCGCGACAGCTACTATGACGTCCCCGATTGGTGTTTGACGCGAGCAGATCACTGGCTGCGGGAACGTGAGGGAGTGGGCTGGGAGTTGAAATGTCCCTTGGTTGTTGGGGAGGTGGGAAGCGACACCCCTTGTGCGGCAGAGACGGATAACCATCTGTCCGCTCCAGTTTTGCGACCACCGAAGGACACGAGATCATCCACAGCCAGTCAATACCAAGAAGTGACGTGTCCTCAAAATATCGTGACTCGCCTCTGTGGTTTATTGGAAAGAGATCCTGGACCGAACTGGAGCTGTTGTGTGAACAAAGCGGTGGAAGAACTGGGCTTGCAAGTGTTTGCTAGTTTTGTGACCCTGCGGCACAAATACCGTGTGGGAGATTTGCATGTGGATCTCGATGAGGTGGATTTCGGCTACTCCGTGGGAGAGGTGGAAGCCGTGGTCCAGCGGTTAGAAGACATCCCTGAAGCTCTGGAGAAGATTGAGAAGTTTTCCAAGCAGCTAGGTAAGGCTGATCTTCAATCTTGTGTGTTTGTGTACGAGCATGTGACAAAATTCAATTTTTTTTAAAAAAATGAGCGGACATCTTTCTCTTAAATGCCTTTTCGGTTCAAGAAAAGGACTTTGGGAAAATTTCAGATTTAAGATGGCATCAGCTTCGTTCACTATTACCTGGAATTTGCTCGAATCTTTGTTGTAGCCTTGTCGATAAAAAGAAAATTATTTTTTCCCGTTTCCTTCTCTGCTAGGCTTGGAAGAAAAGACCGCTATTCCTGGCAAGATGTCGGTGTATTTGCAGAGATTCAGACCAGCGCATTATAAGGCCTTGTTGGGAGCTGGAGTTGTGAAGAAAGTTATAAATACAACAGAGGGATAGGATGGAAAAGTCTGATGGAGCCACAACCAGGATGGAATGAGTGTCAGGGTTCCGGCGATTGCCCGAATATCAATTCATAAAGTATTCCTATGCTTGTTTTTGAGTCTCATCTCCAAACTACAGGATAGTCCAGATTTATCTTTAAATTAAATTATCTTTAAATTAAAACAGCAATTCAAATAAACTCTCCTTTTCTTTCCGAAAATATTATGGGATAGTTTCTTTTATTTCTTTTTGATCTGGTGGTTGTGATTTTTTCATCTTTCCTTTAACTCTGTTTCTCAACCTCAGTCCCTTTAAGACGGCTGGACTTCAGCTCCCAGAATTCCCCAGCCAGCTTTGTGAGGAGAGGGGAAAATTTGCCGGCTGGGGAATTCTGGGAGTTGAAGTCCAGCCATCTTAAAGGAGCAGAGATTGAGAACTACTGCTTCAGTATCGCATGTGCTTGATGTGACATCACAGCAGGTGAACCAATGGCTGAAAGGGGGTGGGGATTGGCTGGTTGGCTGATAATCACTGGATTATCTAAAATTATGTGGAGAAAAAGGTTTGTTCATGATCAGATAACAGCTAACAGATAATCAGAGTTGGAAGGGACCTTGTAGGCCATCTAGACCTAAAGCAGCTTGAAACGTGGTGGATCAAGAGATGGAAGAAGAAACATCTAAAAGGCCAACTTTTTAATCCAAATACACCTTCTAGCCGACTTTGCCCTTTATGTTACCTTAACCTGGTTAGTGCAGGGCATTGACAGCCAAAAGTTGTAGCGCCTATTAAAAGGGGCGGACCTTGATATGATGCGGCCGCCATCTTGACTTCTGATTACCCTAATTTTGTCAACTTTTTAAGATTTGTGGGACTTCCAACTCCCAGAGTTCTCCAGCCAAACTTAAGCATTGTGGTTTGGTCACTCGGTTGGCTGGCCTTCCTCTTTGGTTGACCAGGGTGGTGGGAGGTGAGGACCTCCATGGTTAGCTTTAACCATGGTTTATGAACATGGGTCAGCTTGGAATATGGCATGCTAACCTGGACCATCATGGTGGACACCATGGGCTCAGGAAGACACAACCTTCAATCTCAGGGTAGACCTTGAGAAGATTTCAAGGGAGACTTGACTCCTTCCAGTGTCAAGGTATTGGACAGGTGTGTCATGGAAGCTGGAGACCAGGGTAGGAGAGCCGGTGGCTTGGGTTTATCCATCTGTGTGCCCAACATGGATGATTTTTGAGAATTTTGATTTCTAGAGGTTGATAATCTAGGACAGTGGTCGCCAACTAGTGGGCCGGGGAGCACTGGTGGTCCACGAGAAAATTTTGGTGGTCCACAGAGAATTGTCACCCCCAAAGTAATTAATCCAGGCTGCGTGGGAACACAAGGCTGCACTGCCCACATGGCCCGTGGGAACACAAGGGCGGAAGGGGGGAACTTGCCCCATGCGCCTGGCCTGGCTACTGGGCTGCTTCCTTCCACTTCTTTCTTTTGATTTTGGTTGCACGCAAGGAAAGCAGCAAAAGTCTTTCTTTCTCTCCCCCAAACTCTGCCAGAAATGAGTCTTTGGGACCCTGCAAGGCATCCTGCTCCAAGAGGCTGCGCCGGCGCAACAAGTCTTACAAAGACTCATTTCTGGCAGAGTTTGGGGGAGAGAAAGACTTATGCTGCTTCTGCTGCTTTCCTTGCATGAAGCCAAAAGTCTCTCTCTCTCTCTCTCTTTCCTGCAAACGTTTTTTGGGATTTCCCCAGGGTTTCTGCTGCTTTCTGCAGGGACCCTGGGAAAATGTAAGCAAGCCACCACCAATCAAAATTCATATTAGTGGTCAGCGGGATTTAAAATTATGAGTTTGGTGGTCCCTGAGGTCCGAAAGGTTGGCGACCCCTGCTCTAGAAAGAGTGCAGAGAAGAGCAACCAGGATGATAAGGGGACTGGAGGCTAAAACACCTGATGAACAGTTGCAGGAACTGGGCTTGGCTAGTCTAGTGAATAGAAGGACCAGGGGAGACAGGATAGCAGTCTTCCAGTATTTGAGGGGCTGCCCCAGAGAGGAGGAAGGGGTCAAGCTATTTTCCAAAGCACCTGAAGGTCAGACAAGGAATAATGGATGGAAACTGATCCAGGAGAGATTCAACCTGGAAATAAGGAGAAAACTTTCTGACAGTGAGAACCATCAACCGATGGAATAGAAGTTGCCTTTGGAAGTTGTGGGAGCTTCATCCCTGGATGCTTTCAAGAAGAGAAAGGACGCCTACCTGTCAGAAATGGTGTAGGGTCTCCTGCTTGGGTGAGGGGTTGGACTAGATGACCTACAAGGTCCCTTTTGACTCTTAATCTGTAATTCATTTGATCCATCAAGGTGGGAGAAGCTGGTGGGCCTCCATATGGGACATCTCTTGGCTTAGCTCGTGTTACGGGGTCTCCCAAGAAGTGTGTCTGTGGGACGATTTAGGCAGAGCCAGATCTCGTGTGTGTGTGTGTGTGTGTGTGTGTGTGTGGAACCTCTGATTTGACCCTTCAAAAAGGAGAAAATCCGTGCACGTGGCAGCTGTGTCGATTCGACAACCAGCTTCTTCTCTTCACTCGTTTACTGCCATTGATTTCCACTTAGTCTCGCTCGGTTGTTATGGAGTTTCCCCATCCGGCTGATCAATTCAATTGATTTACTAGCAGTTGAAGTGAGGTGAGAGGAAATGCCACCGACGAGCCATCGGGATTCCCATATATTTACACCTCGCACGCTCCACAAGGGCCTGGTGCCGCTCGCTCGTTGGGAAGCTTTGCTCCGAAAGTACGTTTTATCGGTAATCCTCGACTTACGACTGTTCATTTAGTGACCAAAGTTACAATGGTGCCGGAAAAAAAGTGACTTGGGACCATTTTTTCACACTTACGACCATTGCAGCATCCGCCTGGTCACGTTATCAAAATTCAAATGTCTGGCAGCCATTTCATACTTACAACTGTCGCTGTGTCCCCAGGACACGGCAACGGTCGTAAGTCTGAACCGGTTGCCAAGCATCTGAATTTTGATCGCTTGATCATGAGAATGCTGGAACGGTCGTAATTGTGAAAAAACAGTCCAAGTCCCTTTTTGTCAGGGCCATCATAACTTTGAACGGTCAGTAAACGAGCGATCGTAAGTGGAGGACTCCCTGCCTGTGAAGACTTTCGTAAATCTTGTGTGTGTTTGTGGTGAAATCAGTTTTCTGGGATAATGATAAAACGTTTATTGAAGCACACATTTAAAGGGAACACAAACATCGCCAGCTAAGGGGCGGTTATTATTCCTGAAGTTCCTTTACTCCTTGAGTAACCTACTATTCACTTCCATGCAGTCTCTGGAAACGAGTTGAGTTCTTCGACGTGTTGTACAACAGCCCCGGAAGGCAGGGTGTAGGAAAAGCGTAGCCTCATCCGGAGAGGGATCTGGGTTCAAGAAACAAGAAAAAATATATAAAACATCGCATTAACCAACTGCTAGGAGGGTCGAATCAGATCCCAGCGGAAGGAAAAGCAATATATATTGTACAGGTAGTACTCAATTTATGACCAGTTGAAATGATGACAAGTCTCCTTAGGGTAATTTATGCCCGGATTCGAACTTACAACAGCTGAGTTTCCGCCCAACACTTGTGTCATTGCATTTTGAGTGCTATAGATGCTGACATATCATCTCTAGATTGGCACATTCTGTTCTCTAGTTGTAATACTACAGAAAATCATAATAATGCATTCTTGCTTGACCTTGAAGCAGTCATCAAATTATATGTATCATTAGTAACCCTCCAAAACAAAAAAATACAAATTATCCATAACAATAAGGAAACTTCAATCGAAAAAAAAGTTTGCTATGGTGTAAAAACAAAACTAGCTATGTAGCAAACTTTTAAAAATGATACAACACCTTATGCCGACAGACGAAGGCAGAATGCACAAATTACCACTGCAAGCAAGAGGAAAACCACATACGTATAAAATCTACCTGCGCCTTCTACAATTTTGTAAATACCAAACTTAAAGACTCAAGAACCATCCCACCCCTATAAGCACCGAATGAGAAAGACTGCAATGATGACGCCGTTAAAGCCAACCTCTTCAACACATTCTTCAGTTCAGTCTTTGTAAACAGCCGTGGGCTCATACCCCGCATTTCCTAGTTGTACCACAACTAACTAATGATCTACTACTATTGACTTACAGAATATTATATTGACTTTACAGAAGATAACGTAGAAAAGGCACTACGTAACCTAAACCCGTCCCTATCTGTTGGCCCTGATGGGTTATGTGCACACTTCTTTAAAAAGCTCTCCTCTGCCATAGCAGAACCCTGTAGAGTTGTAATTGCAGGATGTTCCTATCTTGGATGGCAAACCTCAGATAAAGAATGTTTACAAGCAAATACAACTCAGGCAAACAGAGTCACTAATCTAAAGGAGGATTAGAGAGAGGAAGTAAACATATGTTAGACTTTAACTAGAGATAATTGTGTTAATTACTATGCTAAACAGTAACGAAAGTTAAGCAGTAACCAAAGTTAACCGATGTTGGAGGATAATTAAAAATGTGTATAAATGCAAGACTCCAATAAAGATCGTCATGATTCAGTTGTTCATGATCAAACAACTCTACTGCCTCGTCATTACAACAGAACCCCTAAGCATTATATATGATATATCATTCAAAACCTATGGTCCTTAGCTACGGTCATCCCTATCTTCAAAAAAGGGTGACCCCGGCCTAGTTGAAAACTACAGACCAATCTCACTGTGTTTTGTCACATGCAAAGTCATGGAATCAATCATTAACCAATTCATCACCCTCCACTTAGTCAAACAACCTACTCTCCAAAAAAAACAAAAAAACAATTTGGTTTCAGGAAAAAATTGTCCTGCAATCTACAAACTCCTACACTTTGTGCTTTTGGAAAACTTAGGTCAAAACACTTCCCCCCTTTCCACCCAGAGCGGGTTAGAAAGTGGATCAAAGCCATCTGCCTTAATCCACTTGCTGATAAAAGTAGGGTTAAAGTACCCACAGACCCACTTTAAGTTCTTTTCCTTTGCAGGAAACCCGACTAATGAATCTCAGTGACCATCTGGCTTTTTTGGAGGACTTTGAGGGGTCTGGACATAATGTGTCCTTGGCCACCAGGTGAGAAGGCACGGGAAGGGGTTTTTTTTTATGATAGAAATCTCT